AGTTCTCTCCAAGTTTATGGAACAGGGTGGAGGGAACACCAAGGTAACAACAATGCTACCCCAAACCTCAGAATCATGTCTATACATGGGAAAAGAAGCCACTCTGGCCTTCTCCCCAGGAAGCATCAAATCTACCATCAGTCTTGCCCACTCTAGCTCTGCTGCCGCTGGAAAGCCTCGCTGTGAACTTCCACCGGTATGAGCTGGGCCCTCCCTAAGTCTCCTGAGCTCCCTGATGCTCACTGCTGCCAGCAGCGCCCAGCTTGGCACCACCTGCTGCTGCCCACAGGCCTGAAGCGCCCTTTCATCCCTGCTTCCTTTCCTGCTTTGTAGCTGGCCCACTGTCTCTAGGGGCACGTTCTCCTAGAGGTGAGAGACTAGACAGCATCCATCTTTTTTCATCACTGTGGAGTTTCTTTAAATTCTTGTGACAGCATGTGCGTATTGGTCTCTGAAGAAGTGAAGTCTCTGCCTTGTTTCCTCACCTTATAAAAGTTATCTAAAAAGTTTAAAAATCTAGATCTTTTATTTATTTATTTATTTTGAGGCTAATTACTTTATAATATTTTAGTGGTTTTGTCATACATTGACATGGATCCACCACAAGTGTACATGTGTTCCCCATCCTGAACCCCCCTCCTACCTCCCTCCCCATCCCATCCCTCTGGGTCATCCCAGTGCACCAGCCCTGAACACCCTGTCTCATGCATCGAACCTGGACTGGCGATCCATTTCATATACGATAATATACATGTTTCAATGACTTTCTTCCAAACCATCCCACCCTCACCCTCTCCCACAGAGTCCAAAAGACTGTTCTATACATCTGTGTCTCTTTTGCTGTCTTGCATACAGGGTTATCATTATCATCTTTCTAAATTCCATATATATGCGTTAGTATACTGTATTGGTGTTTTTCTTTCTGGCTTACTTCACTCTGTATAATAGGCTCCAGTTTCATCCACCTTGTTAGAACTGATTCAAATGTATTATTTTAATGGCTGAGTAATATTCCATGGTGTATATGTACCACAGCTTTTTTATCCATTCATCTGCTGATGGACATCTAGGTTGCTTCCATGTCCTGGCTATTATAAACAGTGCTGCGATGAACATTGGGGTACACGTGTCTCTTTCAATTCTGGTTTCCTCAATGTATATGCCCAGTAGTGGGATTGCTGGGTCATATGGCAGTTCTATTTCCAGATCTCTCTTAAAATCTAAATTCTCACCACAACTGAAGACCATTTGGTTTGAATTGGTTCAAATGTTCTTGAAGTCCCTGAATAAAAGTGTCACCGATTAAATAATGCCATTAAAAGTGGCATTATTGGAGAAATTACAGAATAATCACCATCTCTTTCCCTAGACTTCTGTTTCATCTACAAAATGGGGATAACAACAGCAACATTTATTGCCCAGCTATGTGCTGGGCAAAGTTCCAAATGCTTTACACATTATTTTATGTAATACATTTAATTCTCACAACTTTATGTTATAATATCTCCATTTTACAGATGAGGAAACAGAGGCAGAGAGAGGTTAAATACCTAGCCCAAGGTCATCCAGCTAGTAAGTGGTGGGACTGAGATTTGAACCTCGGCAGTCTGGCTCTAGAGCATAGATTCTTATTCTCCTGTCCTTTCTTTTTTTGACTGCTGAGATGCTAATTACTAATCAGTCTAATTCATTCCTTTAAATAGTTCCACTATTTCATTAGTTTAACTGAGAAGTTATGTGGTTTAGTTGCCTTTTCTTTTTGTTCTTCATCTGTGCACTCAGCCATCTGTCCATCCATCCATCTGTTCATCTGTCCATCCCATCCATCTAAGATCAATGCAATGTAAATAATTACAGAGATACTATTTACCAGCTGTTAGCTCTTAACCTCTTTGATTCATTCACCAGAATAAAATGGCATTATAATATTTTCAGACTGCTCACGAGTATTACATGAGCTGTTTTATGTCCAATGTCTAGCCTAGAATTCATATTACTCTATGTACTTGAAAGAGACGTAATTACACTGAAAAAATGTAGAATTTAAGATTCACTAATATCACTAATAGTTTATAAAAATCTAATCATGTTGCACCCTAGGGAAAAATAACCCTTCCAGTGTTGAACTGATGAAGGACTCAGTGTCCACCTTAGCCACTCTCTCCCTCCTTTTGACGGTGGGAGCTATCTGCCTCTTGGCTGGCAGAGAGAGATTTGAGCCCAGTGAGATGGCCCAGCCTCCTTTCCTTTTTGAACTTGCTGTTGGCAAGTCTGGGCTGCTTCTCCCTGGAAGAATAGGGTAGAAGGGCTTTTCCAGGGAGGGGATGGAGGGGGTGTGTATCAAGGGAGGATGAGCACCAAGGGCTGGGGTGGGCTGGCCTTGGCGGTAGCTGGGATATGTATTACCTTCCAGAGAGGGTTTCCATAGCAAGGCCAGCATTTAGAAATTTCTAGTCACCTGTGATTCTGATCTTGGAGATGGCTGGAAAGTGAAGGTAGACAACCTTTTGCCAGAGAGAGCTTGGCACTCAGGTTTCTGCCATCTGGGTTGTGAATGCTGTGTGTGTGTGTATGTGTGTTCCATAGGCAGACTCTCTGGCCAGATGTCAAAAGGTCTCAAACCAAGGACTGGGGAGTCCTTGATTAATTGTCTCCTTAGCCATATCCCATTTCTGCCACTTTCCACAAGTTAAATGTAGAACACATTACAATTCAAAAGAGGTTGAATTTTTTTATACATTTATTGTCTCGCATCATCCAAGTAATAAGCTTTTAAAAGATAGCCCACTGGACATAATCATCATCAATAGTAAAACAGAGACACAAACTCAAACATAAGACAAGCCAACCAACCACAGGCTCAAGCTGTCTGCTGCAGTCACCTCCCTAGTGCCCTGGGAAGAAGGCTGGTATTTCTGGATCAGCCTCTGCAATCAGGGAACAGAAGGGGATCGGTGAGCTGCCGTGCTGGTCAAGAGTCCAGGATGCCCGTGTTTGGGACCATCAGCATGCAGCTCATAGCCAGGACTGAACTGAAAGGTTGGTTTCAGTTCATGGGAGGGAGGGAGAGAGGGAGGGGTCAGTGAGGGAACACTGCTGGGAAAGTGCAAGACCCTTCCAAGGACTCAGAGGCAGGGGTCTCTCCAGATTCTGCGTGGAGCCCATGTTGGAACATCTGGACTATTAAATCAGTTGGAGGGGAGCAACCTGTTGTTTCTGGAGTGTGAGGAGCAGAGAGCACACTACAGCAATCAAAAGGTATATATCTTCTAAGTGGCAAGGCTTGTGAAATCATTTGACCTTGAAAGTGCAGCTGTAGGAGGAACTTGCAACTACTAAGCAAGCACTTGCTGATTATCTCGGTCTCCTGAAGATCCCACAGTTCATGCATTCGGCTGATACTCATTGAGCAATTACCCGTGGCAGGGGTTATTCGGGTGCTGGAGATATAGCAGTGCACAGGAAGAATCAATAACCCTGTCTTCCCTGAGTCTGCCTCCTGGTGGGTGACCCAGCTCATAAGTAAGTAAAATACATGGCATGTTGGCTGGAGATAGGTGTCAGAGGAAAACAAGGGACAGGAAAGGAACATTGGGGAGGAATGTACAATTTTAAATGGAGTGGCCAATAAGGGCCTCACTCAGAAGGTGATATTAAACTGAAGATTGGAGGAGGGGAGGGAATGAGCCTTGGGGATGGTGTAGAAAATGAGTGAATCAGGCAGAGGGAATGGCAGGTGCCATGACCCTGTGTCAGGGGAGGCAGTAGGGCCAGTCCAGAGGCTCCAAAAGGGAGACTGGTTGGAAAGGATTCAGAGAGGGGGCAGATGATGCAGGACTTTGTTGGTCACTTCAAAGCCTTTGTTTATATCTTAGTGAGAGATGGGAAACTGGTGTACCATTTCTAGCACAGAAGTAACCTAGGGGTTTATAAGATTGCTTTCCCTGAGATGTTGAAGAGTGAAAGTGTTAGTCGCTCAGGGGTGTCCAACTCTTTGTGACCCCATGGATTTGTAGCCCGCTAGGCTCCTCTGTCCATGGGCTCCTCCAGGCAAGAATACTGGAGCGTGCCATTCCCTTCTCCAGGGAATCTTCCCAACTTAGGGATCAGACCTGGGTTTCCAGAATTGAAGGCAGATTCTTTACCATCTGAACCACCAGGGGAGCCCTGAGATGTGAAGAAAGACTGAAATAGTGTTTGATGCAGAGAGTGTGGTGAGATGGTTCCTGGGAGTAGGAGAGGATGTCTTTGAGTCAGACATGGACATGGAGATTTGCTTATGTATGATTCTGGCTGATAAGATAGACTACTAACATCAGGTACCCAAGCAGGGAGATTGGATGAGGAGATGGCAAGATAAACTCACAAAAACCCTGTGGCAAAGAGAAAGAAAGAAAACTGCCAGTGTGCATGACACAATTCCGTCTATGGAAAACTGCACATGTATGTATGCAAGAAGTGTGAAAACTGCTCATGAAAAGCAGACAGTGTGAGAAATCCATGGGGTCCGGGGGTCAGGATGAACTTCCACTTCAGGGGACATGGGTTTAATCCCTGACCACTGGTGCTGTGATGGAGCCAAAAAAAAAAAAAACAACCCCACAGCAAAACAACCAGCAATGACAAAGAAAAAAAGAACCAGGAGAAAGCAGGCAGTGGAAATATCTGGGTGGCAGACATCCTGACTTTTTTCCCCAACACATTTCTGTATTGTTTAATTTTTTTTTTTTTACAATAAAGCAGGTATTGTTTATATAACCATAAAAAAAAATCCAGTAGAGCTATTTTCATCATGGAAAAAAAAAAGAATGTGGTTATTGGAGATTCTGTGGTTTGTTCTGTTAGTACATTTTATGACTCATGCTCTCAAAAACATGCTATAACTAATTGAATGGGGATGGTGACGATTTCTTCTTCCACTGGTCACATGGCTAAACCCACATTGGAACCCCTGTTTGCTTTGCCCCAGTGGCATTCATGCCTGTCTGTTCTGGGTTCAGGCATTGCCTTCCTGTGCTACAAGGTAACTAACAGTCCATCTGATTATCCCAAGTTCATTACCGTGGAGAGGTGAGACATTACCTAAGGGGAATGGGCTGGAGACTTGGGGCCAGACTTTCCTAGGCATCTGCTGGAAAGCAAAGATGCAATCAGGAAGGAATAAATACTGAGAAAAATTCTAGACCTCAGAGCAACACGCCCCCTCATCCCTGGCCCCTTTCAAGGAAACAGTATGAAGGTCTTCAAAAAGCAGAGTGAGGAGCAGAAGAAACAGACAAGGCCTACTCCTGTCTGCCCCCTGCTCCTTGCACCGTCACCTCCCAGGGCTAATTAACCTCCCAGTGAGCTGAGGACATTTCATGAAAGTTTAAATACCGGAGCTGAGGCGGGCACTGCGTGTTGTCTTCATGGTGGCTTGGACATCTTTGAAAGCCTGAAGTCTCAGAGTCTCCCACGGAGGCCCCTGTGATGTCGGCATGGGGCTTCCTGGGCCCCGGAGTCATTGTGGCCCCATTCCCTGGGGCCGCTGCACAGGGCGAGAAGGCCAGAGCCTGAAGCGGAGACTGCCCTAGGTCCCTCTTTCGGATACTTGTGGGCTGTTACAGCTGTCCCCAAAGCATCAGAGCCACACCATGGTTACTAAGGCAACACCCACCCCTCCAGAGCCAGGGGAGGGAGGGTGCACTGACAGAGGAGGGTTTCATGAGCTGCTTATCCAGAGAGATCGGGGCTAAAAGTACCCCCACAGTTGGCACTTGCATGGCTTCTGGAGTCTCTGTCTTGTGTGTCTTGCTCCCCTACTGTGTTCTGATCCGCCAGGTGGGGGGTGGCCCTGCCTGGGATGAGAAAGACAGGCATTTGAGAAAACCCATGATGACCCTGATGGCTCTGGTGTGGAGGCAGGCGTGAGTTAGGACTGGTGTGAAGCAGAGGGCTGCTGTTGTCCTGGCAGACACAGGGCCTGCCTTCTTTGACTGCAAGGAAGTCATTGGCTTGGACACCCTCGGGCAGCTGACCGGCAATCATCAAACCATCAGTGACTCCAGAGGGCACTGGAAATAGACCCAAGTGCTCTGAGCCTGCCTGCGCTCCCTCCCTGAGTGGCTGCTGAGGGCGCAAGAGGCCCTCCCAGGTCACTGCTGGGCCTGGGATCAGGCCAGCCCGGAATTTGCTGGCCGTGGGGCTTGCTGCTGTTTGTTCCGCATGTCAGGGACCCACACTGAAGCAGAGACCCGAGCTCAAGGCCCTGCTATTCCTGGGCTTCCAGCCTGTGCTCCTGAGGGCAGCCCTGCTTCTGGGTCTTCATGTGGTGAGAGAGGAGGATTACTTAGGTTTGCACCGTGAACAAGAGCCTCTGAGGTGGTCCACTGATACAACCTCTGTGCCCCGTAAGAGGTGGGTGAGGCTGTGACCAAGTGGCCACATACTGGTAACGGGCTGCCTTGGGTAGTGCTCAGAGAGGGGTCTGCTTGGCTGTCTGAGCCCCACCAACTCACACAGAGGCCACTGGACCTCCTCTGGATTGCTGCTCCTCAAACCTCCCAAAACTAGGCACAGAATGCCTCAGTTCAGTTCAGTCTCTCAGTCGTGTGTGACTCTTTGTGACCCCATGAATCGCAGCACACCAGGCCTCCCTGTCCATCACCAACTCCCGGAGTTTGCTCAAACTCATGTCCATCAAGTCGGTGACACCATCCAGCCATCTCACCCTCTGTTGTCCCCTTCTCCTCCTGCCCCCAATCCCTGCTAGCATCAGGGTCTTTTCCAGTGAGTCAGCTCTTTACATGAGGTGGCCAAAGTATTGGAGTTTCAGCTTCAGCATCAGTCCTTCCAATGAACACCCAGGATTGATCTCCTTTAGAATGGACTGGTTGGATCTTCTTGCAGTCCAAGGGACTCTCAAGAGTCTTCTCTAACACCACACTTCAAAAGCATCAATTCTTCGGCACTCAGCTTTCTTCACAGTCCAACTCTCACATCCATACATGACCACTGGAAAAACCATAGCCTTGACTAGACGGACCTTTGTTGGCACAGTAATATCTCTGCTTTTTAATATGCTGTCTAGGTTGGTCATAACTTTCCTTCCAGGGAGTAAGTGTCTTTTAATTTCATGGCTGCAATCATCATCTGCAGTGATTTTGGAGCCCCTAAAAATAAAGTCTGCCACTGTTTCCACTGTTTCCCCATCTATTTCCCATGAAGTGATGGGGCTAGATGCCATGATCTTAGTTTTCTGAATGTTGAGCTTTAAGCCAACTTTTTCACTCTCCTCCTTCACTTTCATCAAGAGGCTTTTTAGTTCCTCTTCACTTTCTGCATATCTGAGGTTATTGATATTTCTCCCGGCAATCTTGATTCCAGTTTGTGCTTCTTCCAGCCCAGCGTTTCTCATGATGTACTCTGCATAGAACGCTTAGCTGCGTGCTAAGTCACTTCAGTCATGCTCTGACTCTTTCTGACCTTATGGACTGTAGCCCATCAGGCTCCTCAGTCTATGGGATTCTCCTGGCAAGAATAGTGAAGTGGGTTGCCGTGTTCTCCTCCAGGGATCTTTCCAACCCAGGGTTTGAACCCGCGTTTCCTGCAGTTCCTGTATTGCAGTTGAATTCTTTACTGCTGAGCCACCAGGGAAGCCATGCTTGTTAAATGCAGGTTCTGACCCAATGGGGCTTCACAGGGCCTGAGACACTGCATTTCTGACAAGCTCCTAGAAGTCTCAAAGGCAGTGGTTCTCAAACAGTGGAGTAACTAAGAATCCCCGGGAGGCATTTTAAAACTCCAGATTTCTCCATTCCACTTGCGACCCCCTCAATCAGAGTTATCACATGGACAAATGTCAGAAAAGCTAACGGGCGATTCGCAGTCACCATCCTCCAGCCTAACCAGTGTGGTTCAAACATTACTCTATTTTTAGTAAGATCTGCCCTTTGCAAAGCTAGCCTACCATCTTTCATTCTTCAACAAATATTTATGAAGTCTCTTCTGTGTTTCCATAAGGGTCTATTCTTCCTCTTCTGGCTGGACAGACAGATGGCAGATGACAGACTCTGCTTCATGCCTCCAAGGCTGCGAAACTGAATTAAAGAAATCTCCAGGGGTTTAGGGTTCAGTGGGTTGGTTTCCTTACATGGTTACAGAGCAAGTAATGTGTTCTTAATGAGCTGCCATTTACTTATGCAAATAGCAGGCCCCAGATGCCAGGGGGATTAGGGTTTAGCAGAGAGGCGTGCCTCTGCATACCACTCAGGTTTTAGCACAGCAACTGCTGTCCTTTCGGACCCAACCCTGTTTTTTGTCTTTAACAGTCGCTGTGTGGCCAGTGTGTTCCTGCGTGTGGAATGTGTGTGTGTCCTTGGGGGGGTCTCACACCAGCCAGAGGTCCTGGGGGTCATGGTCACGACCTCTCCTTGCCCATGTCTGCTTTAGGCCTGGCCTTGTGGAACTCTGTGAAGACCAGCCAGGGTGGGAGGCTAGGGCTGTTGAACTCCATGGTATAAGGACTTGCTAGAGCCAAGAGGTGCTGTGAACTTCATTTCTGGTCTTCATGAGAAAATTTCACAAAAGTTCCCTTGCATCTTGTCAAAGGACAACAAAACACAAAAGCAGGGTCTTGGTTTCTCTGCCTTTCTCCCAAGAAGCTTCCCCATCACGCAAGGGAAGACGCTGCTTGGGCTGTGAGGGTGTGAGGTCTCTGCGCGGTGCTGGTGCTGGCATGTCCTCTCCACTGGCACAGAGGAGCACCTTGCTGCAGCTGGTGACATTCTGTGCCATTCCAGGCACTGTCCAAACAGAACTTTTCAGGCCTCACTTCATTTCCCAGCTTTTGGAACATGGATAGGAGAGCAAAAATCAGTCCAAACAGGTATGGCATTCTTGAGCGTCAGCAACACACTGGTGATGTGCTCCCAGGCTTGTCTGCCTTGGCATCTCATTAGCACTGTTTGGCTGACACCCTCCTCCTCCTGCAATAACTGGCTGTGGCCGCCTGGATGTCTTCATGCTCACTGCTGAGAGCAGCTCCCCCTGTCTAGCTGGCCTGCCCCAGAGCCTGGTGGGAAACTCCTCTTGCTGGAGCATCACAGATGCTGCCAGGTGAGGCTCTCTGAATCACTTCCCACAGATGTCACCCTTATAAAATGCCCTTCCTGTTGCCCTTACCATCTCGTGCCCTCCAGGGCCTATCCATCCCCTTCTGTCTCTGTGACTGAGGACTTGGCCGTGAACACATGTAACTTCTTTCTGGCAACTCATCGCAGGAGGAATTGCTGGATACCATGGCAGTTGGGAAAATGAGGGCATTTTTTTTTTTTTTGTGCCCATTCCCTCCAGCCCAGAGTCGACCCCTTTCATGAGGGTTGTGTATCTTGAGCTGATGCCCGCTTCTCCACGGGAGAAAAGGAAGTGGTGGGACAGATGGCGGGGTTGTAGTGCAATAGATGAAGGGTAGGTTTTGCCCCTGAATCTCACTTAAGGCATAAATCACCTTGTCTCATGGGTCACAGTTTCTTTATCTGCAAAATGGGGAAGGTTGGTTTGAACTTCTCTGGCCTACACTAATTCAAAAAAACAAAAACTAAGAATGAAATAAACAATCAAACTGTTTGAGCTCATATTTAAAACTTAAGAGTTTTCACTGAAGCCAGCTCTAAAGATTGCTCAAGGACTCTAACAAAATAGGGGAATCCAAATTAGAAGACTGATAAAAGAGCCATTACCAGGACTTCCCTGGTGGTCCAGGGATTAAGACTCCGAGCTTCCACTGCAGAAAAGAAATAAATAGATAAAACTTAGATTTTTTCATATAAAGGTATGATTTTTTCCCCTTCCCTAAAAAAATGGACCTATTTGACAACACCACTACCTCTTGGCAGCAGTCGTCTAGACCTGAGTAACTGCTGCCCCTTGTATGTGCTCTGCAGTGGGGTCCACTTTGGGGCCCCCCTCTGAAGCCAGGCCGACTCACTCCATAGCTTTACATGTTTGGTCTCTTTACATGTTTAACTTCCTAGAGCTAACATTACACATTACCATAAATTGAGTGGTTTAGAGCAACAGAAAACTACGCTCTACACGCCGAAGTCTGAAGTCAAAGGTGTTGGCAGGACCATGGTCTCTCTGTAGGCTCTAGGGGAGAATCCTTGTTTGCCTCTGACTAGCTCCTGGTGGATGCCAGCGAGCCTAGGTACTTCTTGGCTTGTAGCTGCATCTTTCAATCTCTGTCTCTACTGTCGCCTGTGCATCCATGCGTCTCTAAGTGTTCTAGCCACTGGATTCGGGCCCACCCTAATCCAGCATGGTGACAGCTTAACTTGACTACATCTGCCAGGACCCTATTACCAAATAAGGTCACCTTCTGAGGTTGCTGGTGGACATGAATTTGGGGGTGGGGGACCCTACCTAACTTGGTGTAGCATGTGGATGGGCAACCCTGGACCACTGGCTTTATGTCCTCTGACTTGTCACTCTCCTGACCTTAGCCCCCAGCTTTCTTCCTCTCAGTGGTATTTTACTCCTTCAGTTCTCTCAATGCAAATAGGTGGCACCTCAGTTTTCTGGTCTTGGTTTGACCACTTGAAAGGCCACCTCAGGGCTAATCATTGTCCTTCTGGGTTTTTTTGTTTCCATGTGTCACTGCAGGACAACAGATGCTGCTTGGGCTGTGGTGGGCATATGCTGAGTGTGGGGTGCACTTTTGCTTGTGGGTTCATTGAAGCTCTCAGGAGCATTGCCTCTGAGCAGCCCCTTCTCTGATTTACCCCAGAGGGCAACTGTCCTTCTGGGTGCCCACAGAACCTGAGACATACCTTTATAACATATCTGACCATCTTTAATCTGTTTTTTTTTACTTTGACCTTTGTATTCTATTGCTTTTGCTACAAGATAATCACTAAAGGGATGCTGCCTACTGATTTAAGTATATGTAATGGCCCATCTCTGGGGACCCTGCTTCTCAGGCCTAAGTGTTAAGCTAAAACACCTTTGTTTAGCTCTCAGGAAACATCCTAACAAGGACTACCTGTGAATAGTTGCAGGAGGGAAGAAATTAACACATCCCCTCCCATGGCTAAAGCTTCCCTTGTGACTCAGATGGTAAAGAACCTGCCTGCCCTGCAGGAGGCCAGGGTTTGATTCCTGGGTCGGGAATATCTCCTGAAGAAGGAAATAGCAACCCACTCCAGTATTCTTGCCTGGAGAATTCCATGGACAGAGGAGCCTGGTGGGCCCTAGTCCATGGGGTCACAAAGAGTCAGATGTGACTGAGCAACTAACACACTCCAGTGGCTGGCCAGAACTAGGAAATGTTTGCAACAACTTGCTGCCTTTTTTTTTTTTTTTTTGCTTTGCCCTCTTACCTCTCCCTCTTTGTTCTATAAGAAAACAAACATCCAAAC